GTCCCCCCCCCCCCCCGCCCACCGATCCCCAGGGCGAGGGGATCATATACCCATTCGATGGCCTCTACGGACTTAAAACTCCGCGACCTCTCCAGGTGTGGACATGGTTCCCCTACCCTGCAGCGTCTTGGGACCCTGGCATCTTAACAACCCCCCACACCTCCAAAAAAAAAAAAAAAAAATTCCCATCCTCTCTGCAGCCGGGAGAGGCATTAAGGACTTCAACTCCCAGCAGCCTCTGCAGCGCCGGGTCTATGAAGCCGTAGCATCGCGGGCGCAATGCCTGCCGGGAATTGTAGTCTCTAGGCCTTTAACGGGAGCTAGGGCGTTCTGGAGGCGGGAGGGGGTGGCTGAACCCCCCGGGAGTCTCCTGGGGTAGGACAGCTGGCCCGAGTCGGGCGAAAAGTGAGGCTTGGACTGAGCTTTTTCTCCCTGCCTCGGCCCCCAGACCAGGCACTCTCTCTTACCACAGGGCGCGTGGGGACTGGTCCACAGTCCCTTGTCCGCCCTACAACCCCCATGGGCTGCCGCCCGCCACCGCCTCCTCGGCTGCCACCCAGGACACGGCAGAGATAAAAGCAGGTGAGTCTGACTATGGCTGGCTCGGAGTCTCGGCCTTCCGCAGCACCTCCACGACACCTGTCCATCTGTGAGCCCTGATCGGTTTGTCCTTAATTTCCCCTGCATCCCCCTTTCAAGCCATCTCTGATGTCTGGCTTCAAGCCGAGTGTCCTAATTCCCCCACTCCCCACATCCACCTGTCTCTCCTGGGCCCCTCTCATTTATGCCCCCCCACCCTCAATCCAACCTTCCCTTCTGGACCCATGTCTGTCTGTCTGCCCAGCCTTCTTCTCTATCCTTTTGTCTGACTGTGATCTCCAGCCATTATCTGTCCATCTGTCCTTTATTTCTGCACCCCATCTGTCCTCCTGTCCCACTCTTTCTCCCTCAAAGATATTTCTGCTCACACTGCTGCCTGTTCCTCATCACTGCCCCTCCGTCCACCCATCTCTTGAGTTCCCGAGAAGTACACACCAGCTTATTCTTCATTGCTGTCCATCTCAGCTCTCAGTCTTTCACTTCCCTTTCTCCTGTCTGTTTCTCTCTTCCTCTCTTACGGGCCCCAGTTTGCCCTTCTCTCGCCTCAGCTCTTCCACCCTCAACTTGGTCCCCATCTCTGCTTCTCCGTCCCTCCCAGCTACCACCACACATATCAACCTCTTATCTCTCTCCCTGCACCCACTCCTCTCTCCTGATCCTCTGTACTCCGGTCTGGCCTCCTTCTCATTCTTTGGACCTTCTAAGCGCCTTCCCACCCTAAGCCCCTGCTTATGCTGTTCCTGCTGCCTTAAATGCCTTTCTCCACCCCAGCCTCACTGCCCACTGCCCATGGCTGGCTCTATCTTGTTTTTAAGGTCCCAGAGAAGCCTCCCTGGCTGCCCTCCTCCCAGTTCCTTTGTGGCACATCCTCCAGCTTTTTCTCTCAGAGCATGTGAGAGTGTCTCGTTTGTTTATGTGTGTTTGTTCACTTGTTTACTCTTTGTCTCCTCTCATTGGACTGTGACACCAGTGAGTCAGGGAACTCCAGTACTTTGTTCTCTGCTGGATCTGCAGCAGCCAGCACAGTGCCTGGTGTGTAGTTGGTGTTCAGTGAATATTCATTGAATAAATGAATGAATGATGAATGGCTGTCACCTTGTCTGTCCATCTCAAAATTCTGTTCCTTCATCTGTGCACCCCTAATCTTTGTCTCCTTGTCTGTCCATCCCTTTATTGTGCATCCCGACTCTCTGCCCCTTGACTGGCCTTCCTAGTCTCTTCCTCCTTGTCCGTTTGTCCCTTTTCTCTTTTCTCTTGTCCATTCACTCCAATCTGTGTCTCCTTGGTTTATCCAACCTCTGTTACTATCTTCCTGCCTGTCCACCCCAAATTTCTGTCCTCTTGTCTATCTGCTCCTAATTTTTTTCCTCATCCATCCCTCCCTAATATCTGTCCCTTTGTCCTTCTTCCTCTAATCTCCATCCCTAAACCATCTGCTCCTAATCTCTGTCCCCTTTGCCTATCCTTCCTTCTCTCTCCTTCTCTTTCTACTCCTATCTCTGCACCCCCACCCACTCTTCTCCCCCATTCTCTTCCCCATCTGCACCCTTGCCCTACCTCTTCTGCACACAGGACCAGAAAACCACCATGTCAGGAGACTATGAGGATGACCTCTGCCGACGGGCACTCATCCTGGTCTCAGACCTCTGTGCACGGGTCCGAGATGCTGACACCAGTGACAGGTGCCAGGAATTCAATGACCTGCGGATCCGAGGCTACCCCCGGGGTCCAGATGCAGGTCAGCACCCCCAGCTGTCTTGGCCAGCCTTCTGCCTTTACTATAGCCAGGAAATCCAGAGCAGGCTCACTCAGCTTTCTGTTCTCTGTGGGGCCAGTCCTTCTTAGTGTCTTGCCTCCATCCTGCCTGCTGCTGTCCCCCCTCCCCAAAACTCCGATCTAAGGAGAAGGAGCTGTGTGATCCACTTGACCCCTGATCTTTTGAGTTTTGTGCTGTGGGCCTCCCGCCAGCTACCATCACCAAATATCCCCTTTAAATATCTTTGTGCATCTTGCATAGTGGTTAAAACCTTAGCGTCTTGAGTGAAACTGTCTGATTTGTTTGGCTTCAAATCCCACCTCCCCAACTTACTAACTGGATGGCTTTATGTAAGAGACTCTTCTGTGCCTCAGTTTCCTCATCTGGAAAATGGGGATAATAAAAGCGACTACCTCATTGGGCAGATAAGAGACTCTAATTATGTAGTACACGTGAAGTGTTTAGAACAATGCTGGGCACATGTTGGTCATTCAATAAATGTTGGTATACACTTACTGAGTACCAGCTGTGGTCCAGGCAGTTTGCAAAGTCTTTTGCATATTTCATTGACTACTCACAGTGACCCTTTGTGGTATATATAATCCCCATTTCCAATGGGAGAAACTGAGGCTCAAAAGGGTGAAGTGACTTACTTGTCCAAGGTCCTGTGCTAGGAAGCAGCAGGGTTCTGAGAACTAGGAAATATTATGAGCGTCATTGTCCACATGAGGAAACATTCACCAGAGGAAGCGTGTGCTAGGAGATCACAACAGTCATACTTGCTGAGCGCCAGGACAGGGCTTGGCATCTCCTATGCGGGATGTCCAGCTGATGATGATGAGGAATAAGACCAAGAGAGCTGCGGTCACTTGCTCAGAGTCTCACAGCCTGTAGGTAGCAGAGCTGGAATTTTATCCTAAATAGTCTAGGATGGAAATGCAGTTTGGAGTTCCCCAAGACCATCCTCAGGTTCGGTGATTTGCTAGAAGAACTCACGGAACTCAGAAAAGTTGTTGTGCTCATGGTTGTAGTTTATTGCAGTGAAAGGATACAGACTAAAATCATCAAAGGGGAGAGGTGCATAGGGCAGAGTCCAGGAGACCAGGCACAACCTTCCAGCTGTCCTTTCTCAGTGGAGTCATATGGACAGCCCTTAATTCTCCCAGCAATGGTATGTGACAACACACACAGAGTAGTGCCAACCAGGGGATCCCACCTGAGCCTTGATGTCCAGGGTTTTTATTGGGAGTCAGACATATAGACCTGGCTGATTGTCCATGTGGCTGACCTTAGTCTCCAGCCCCTCCAGAGATCGAGCTGATGGCCCAAGGCCCCCAGCATAAATCACATTGTTAACGTAGACCATCTAGCATATGTCAAAGCCCCAGGTAAGCCAACACACTCTTATCAGGCAGAACCTTCCAAGGTCTTAGAGGTTCCCTCCCAGAAGCTGATCAAGGGTCAACCTTTTGGGGGACAAGGTGAATCTTTTGCTGCATGACTACACTGCTTCTCCAAGCCTAATCCTGCACAGACAGTAATGGGGAATCTGTCAGGGCTTGGAGGATTCATGCTTTGACTTGGACAGGGTCTGTGTCAGGTGGGCAGTTGCGGAGAGTGTCTGCTCAATTTTTCTCCAAAACAATCCCCTTTCCTCAATTCTTCCCACATTCAGGAGGCTGGTAAAATTCTTGCCTCTCGTTTGTAACAAGCTCACAGAACTCTCAGCAGGTATTGATCACTTAGAAAGGAACATCCTAAAGTGTGGGGCGGGAGAAGAGAGGAAACTCAGGGGTTTTTTGCCAGTGCCTGGTGTATGGCCCTGCAATGTCACTTCCTCTCACTCAGAGCCTCAATTTTCTCATCTAAGTTATCCCTTGGTTACATGCTGTCATGAGGATTAGTGTCACACACTGCTGTAGCTTCATTGGGCAGCATAGGAGCAGAAGGCATTTCCTTCCTGCCATGTGTCTCCTGATGTAACAGGACACAGCCATTCCACTTGGCTGTCTTTGCTGGCAATGGCTTAGCTACCTGTTACCCCACGATAATCCATTGTCTGGATGGAGCAGGGATTTTCCCTGCTTCTACCTCCCTGAAACTCAGGAATCGATTCCAAAACAAATTCACATGTCCTTGAATATCATTTCTGGAAAACCCCACTCCTGGCACCAATTATGGAATAAGCCAAAAAGGTTAGTTGCAAGAATGGGGCTATACTTGGGTTTTTCTGCAGGGTGTATCAGGGTATAGTGGGCATTCAGAAGGTGTTAACTATGATGTTGGTGGTGTTGGATGCACATGGTAGCAGCAATAGGATCTATTATTCTAATAAAAATTCACATTTGAACTACCATTTATTAAGAAGTATTAGGGTTTGATAGCATAATGGTGAAAACCATGGGCTCTGGACCAGGCATCCCAGGTTCAAATCCTGACTCTACCACCTACCAGCTGTGGGACTTTGAGCAGGTGACTTTGTGCCTATTGACCTCAGTTTCCTTTTGTGGAAAATGGAGGTAAATAATGTTGCCAACTTCATGTGGTACCTGTCACACTTAAATTATCTAGTGTCTATAAAGCACTGAGGTGCCTGGTATGAAGTCACCCCTCAAATGCTTGTTATTGTATTCTACTATTTACCTTCTACATCCCTTCAACCACTATAAATAGGACTAATTTTTCCTATTTGGCAAATGGGGAATGTAAAGTTCCTAGTGGTTAAGATATGTTCCCAGGGCCACATGGCAAGCTGTGATTTGAACCCTGACCTGCCTAACTGTGCTGTGCAGTGTTCACTCTTCCTTGATCATTTCTGAGCATTTTGGAGGACTGTGGTCCTACCTCAGATGTTGTGTACTCTTATAGAGAGGCAGCATGGCCTAGTGATTAAGAGAATAAAGTCTGGAGACAGACTTCTGGATTCAAATTACAGATCTATCATTTACTACCTATGAGCCTACAGAAATCATTCAACCTCTCCATGTCTCAGTTTCCTCATCTTTAAAATGGTTGTATAAAAATGTGCACCTCATAAGGTTATAGAGTTTGAATTAATACATGTAAAGTACTTAAAGACAATGCATGGCAAACACTAAGGGTAGCTCTTCTGGGACAGCAGTGGGAAGATGCACTCTGACCCCACCTGACCCCTGACCTCTGTCCTCACTCTCTCCAGACATCTCCGTGAGCCTGCTGTCGGTCATCGTGACGTTCTGTGGAATTGTCCTTCTGGGCGTCTCCCTCTTTGTGTCCTGGAAGTTGTGCTGGGTGCCCTGGCGGGACAAGGGAGGCTCAGCTGTGGGCGGTGGTCCCCTGCGCAAAGACCTAGGCCCTGGGGTCGGGTTGGCAGGCTTGGTAGGCAGTGGTGGGCACCACCTGGGGACTGGCCTTGGTGGCCATCCTCTGCTGGGTGGCCCACACCACCATGCCCACACTGCCCACCATCCGCCCTTTGCTGAGCTGCTGGAGCCAGGCAGCCTTGGGGGCTCTGAACCTCCTGAACCCTCCTACTTGGACATGGACTCATATCCAGAGGCTGCAGCAGCAGCAGCAGTGGCCGCTGGGGTCAAACCAAGCCAGACATCCCCTGAGCTGCCCTCTGAGGTCGCGGCAGGCTCTGGGCTGCTCCTGCTGCCCCCTAGTGGTGGGGGCTTGCCCAGTGCCCAGTCGCATCAGCAGGTCACAAGCCTGGCACCCACTACCAGGTGAGAAGCTATTAGGCTGGAGGTCCACTCTGAACAACTTCTTCTCCTCTGTGTCTCATTCCCATCTATGGTTTTTCTGAGTTCTGAGGCAGGAGGGAGATTGGGATATTGACTCCTGGATTCTGGTGAAAGAGGAGGCTGGGGCCCCAGACTCGTGGATCTGAGGGAGGATAGAGGTGGGGGCCTAGACTCATTGCACCTGAAGGAGGAGGGGGCTAGGGACCTGGATACCCAGGTCCAGAGGTAGGAGGAGGCTGAAGGCAGGACTCCAGGGTCAAGAAAGTGGAGGAGAATGGGAATTGGATCCTCAAGTCCTGAGGCACAAGGCAATTCATCCCTTTCACTCTACACCAGGATTAGTAGTGGGACCGAGTTCATTCACTCATTATTCCTTTTCCTGCACATGTCTACTGAGCATCAAATATGAACTTGGCCTGAGCTAGGTATTGGGAAAACATTGGACTCTGCCCTCACGTCACTCACAGTCCAGGGGAGAGGGACCTCCAAATTGGCTGTCCCAGGACAGCCCAGCTAGTGAGGCAGTAAAGCAACTCAGAGGACTGTGGCTAGGAGCCTCCCAAAGGGGCCCTGATCCCAATCTGAGAGGAAACTGGGGGCTTTGTGGAGGTGTCTCAGCTGAGACCTGCAGGATGAGGATGTGACCTGCGCATTCCAGGCCGAGGAAACAGCCTTTGCAAAGGCAAGAGGGGAAAGAGATTGTAATGCACTGTGGGGACATCCATGAGAATAAGTCTGAACAAACAAAACTTGGGGGATGTGGCTTTGGACATTGGACCACCCAGGGCCTCAAGTGCCAGGCTGAGAGGCTAGGGCTTTGTCCTGACTACACTGAGGGGCCATGGGAGGGCTGTGAGCAGGGGAGGAATGGGCAAGGTCAGTTCTGGGTATAGAAGGACCCCTCTGGGGACATACGGGGGTGGACTGGAGGGAGAGACTGGAGGCTGACCGTCCAGGCAGGAGAGGACAACCCTTGAGCTGGGGCCAGGGCAGTGGGGATAGAGATGAGGGGATGGGTTTAGAGAAGGGAAGAAGGGGGTTGAAAGAGGGTCTGGGCTGTGTAGGTCCCTGGGGTCCATGAAGAAGTTATTTTGGGTCAGCAGCTCGAGGTCCAGAGGAGGTTTCTGGAAGCTGCTGCATCTGCAGGTGTGGGCTGGAGCTAGTTTAGAAATGGGCATAACCCCTCCCCCCCTACCCAATACAGATGGGGAAACTGAGGCTCACACAGTGAGCAAAAGAAGGCATTTGTGACCACCTGGCTGGGGGGCTGAGGAAGAAGCAGGAAGGGGTCTCCCAGGTCTTTGGATGCAAACATCGGAGACACTAACCTCACCTTGGTCTCCCCCAATCACCCCCTACAGGTACCCAGCCCTGCCCCGACCCCTCACCCAACAGACTCTGACTCCCCAACCGGACCCGAGCAGTGAGGAGCGGCCTCCTGCCCTACCCTTACCCCTGCCAGGCGGTGAGGAAAAAGCCAAACTCATTGGGCAGATCAAGCCAGAGCTGTACCAGGGAACTGGACCTGGCGGCAGGCGGGGTGGTGGGGCCCCAGGCTCCGGAGAGGCAGGTGCAGGGGCACCCTGTGGCCGCATCAGCTTCGCCCTGCGGTACCTTTATGGCTCTGACCAACTGGTGGTGAGGATCCTGCAGGCCTTGGACCTCCCCGCCAAGGACTCCAATGGCTTCTCAGACCCCTACGTCAAGATCTACCTGCTGCCTGACCGCAAGAAAAAGTTTCAGACCAAGGTCCGAGCAGCAGGCTGGACGTCAGGACCCCACAGCAGAGGGAGCTGGGAGATTGACCCTCTGGGTCTGAGGGAGGAGGAGTTGGGGGTCTCATGGAAGAAATGACTAGGGTCCAGACTCCTGGGTCTGGGGAGGAGGGGCTGGCGGGCATGGTGTCTGTCTCCATCTCTCACCCACTACCTGCCAGGTGCACAGGAAGACCCTGAACCCCATCTTCAATGAGACGTTTCAATTCTCGGTACCCCTGGCTGAGCTGGCCCAGCGCAAACTGCACTTCAGCGTCTATGACTTTGACCGCTTCTCACGGCACGACCTCATCGGCCAGGTGGTGCTGGACAACCTCCTGGAGCTGGCTGAGCAGCCCCCCGACCGCCCGCTCTGGAAGGACATCGTGGAGGGCGGCTCGGTCAGTGGCTCCTGTTTCCTGCCTGACCTTCCCTTGACCTGCCCCTTCCCAGGCCCCTGAGACTCCCCAGTTTGCAACCTCCTTGCCGTCCAACTACATAACCTCCTAACTTTTTGTCCCTGGATTTTTCTTTTAAAATGCATTGTACTGGAGAATGTTGCAAACATACAAGCAAGAACAGAGAATGATATAATGGACACCCTTGCCCTTCCCAACTTTGTCAAATATTAGCATCATGCCCGGATCCCAGATTTCCCAACTTCTGTCCTCCTTTACATCTGATGACTTCATGCCTCAACCCTATGGCTTCAACCCTCTAACCCCAGATTTCTGATCCTCCAATTTCCTGACTCCAGAGTTCTTGGGCTTTTGGTTTCCCAACCTCCTGACTTTCCAATTTCCAGACTTCCTGAAGCCCCAATCCCTCTCTAATCCCTGACCTTCAAACTCTTTCTTACCCTCTGTTTTTTTTTTATGGTCACCTCCCAAATCTTGATGGTCTGAGCCCCCAAGCCTTAGACATACTGGGATCCCTAATACCCTGACACTCCACAATTCTCCTAGCATCCAGACTGTAGGGTCTACAATCCCCCAATGGCCCCCTTCCTCATTTCTTATGATCCCTGCTATCTGGTTCTTCATTCTCTTGTGTGTCCAATCCCTCTCCCAGCCCTACTCTTAGGTCCTCGTCGGGTGTCCTGAACCCTTACTCCCCACCCCACCCCCACCAAATCTCAGCCCTCCAACTCCTCAGCCCTCCCAATTCCGATCTATGGATTACCCAACATTCTAATTCTCTAGCAATCTCTTGTAGCTATGTGTGTGTGTCGGGCAGGTGGTGAGTCCTGTCCTCATATCAGGAGAGGAAGAGCTCTGCCTACCCAATGGCCATCCTCAAGGTTCTTTCCTTCTCTGAGCCTCAGTTTCCCCATCTGTTCAATTAGATAGTTGAACCGGGTGCCTATAGGTCTTCCTATACTCCCCCTCACGAGGCTCTCCCCAGCCTGCTCACTCGGTCCCCCAAGTCCAGCTTCTGGGATCTAAGTACCTAGTTCTGGGGTCCCTGTCCTCAGGGCCCCCATCTGTCCCACCAAGTCCCTGGTCCCTGTCACCACCTGTGACCACCCCACAAAATGCCCTCTCTCTGCCTCCATCTTTATCCCCTCTTTGTGTCTGTCCCTTCTTATTTTCTCTCCCTGTCGTCATCACTTGAGCTCTTCACTTTTTCGTATATTCATTCATTCCTTCAACACAGTTTTTTTCAGGGTCAGGATCTGGGAACCCCAAACAGTGCTCAGGAGCTCCAGGTCTAGGTGGTCACACAGTTGGTGGCAGGGACTAGTGCTATAGGGTAACACGGGAGGAGCATCTACTCAGGGCTGTAGGGGATCTGGAAGCTTGTGGACAAGGTAATAATGAAGCTGAGGCTTGAAGCTGAGGAGGAGACAGGAGATGGGGAGCGAAACATATTCTAAGCAGAGGGAACAGCCTGGGCAAAGGCCCCGAAGGGAGTGACTGCATAGTCCAGGCACCTGGATTGCTATAGTTCGGAGGCAAGGGGCTGAGACGAGGCCACAGGGCTGGACAGGGCAGGTCATGGCACCTGGCTGGCTGTGGCCACTGCTCCAAGTCTATCAGTGTGTGTCAGGATGGGAGGGATCTTCTCACCTGAAGCCTCATTCTGGGTCCTGGTGTATCTCCTGTCCTCTCTAAAGCTGACTTCTCTGTGTCTCTTTTCTCTCTCTTTGTCCCACTCTGTCTGGGTCAGACTCCTCTCTTTCTCTGTGTGTGTCTGGGTGGGAGGAGGGTAATCAGTCTGTTTATCTCTCTCTCTCTCTCTCTCTCTCTCTCTCTCTCTCTCTCTCAGGTCTTTGCCCCTCCACTTCTATTCTGGGTCTCTGTCACTCTCTCTAGGTCTCTATACTCTCCTTCAAGTCTCTGTCCCCCTCTCTCTTTGGATCTCTAGTCCTGCCCCTTGGGGACTCTGATTCCCCACCCCAGGATCCTGTCTCCTTCCCCCCGCCCCAGATCTCTGCCCACTCCCAGATCTCTGTACTCCGCTATCTTTGGAGTCCTGTCCCTCTCTGCCTGGGTCTCTGTCCCCCTGTCTCTGGGCCTCTGTCACTCTCACTTTAGAACTCCGTCTGTGGATCTGTCTTTCTCACTGTATCTCTCCGGGTTTTGACCTCTGTCTCTGTCTATTTCTCCCTGTATTCTTCTCTCCCCCCACCCCACCCCACTCATGCTTCTTCCCATCTTCTCTGCAGAACAAACAGGCTTTGACGGTTGTGAGCAGCTGTGGCCAGTGAGTTCCCAGGCCTTGGCCCAGAGTCAGACTGTTAAGTGGATCAGAAACTCAAGCCCTAGATGTCAGGGAGAAGAGCTGGAGGCTTGAGATGGGAGAGAAAATCAGGAAAAGATGGGGGAGACGGGGGCGTCACTGAACCCCTTTCCCCAACTGCAGGAGAAGGCAGATCTTGGGGAGCTCAACTTCTCACTCTGCTACCTCCCCACGGCTGGGCGCCTCACCGTGACCATCATCAAAGCCTCTAACCTCAAAGCGATGGACCTCACCGGCTTCTCAGGTAGGTCCCAGGGAGGGGCTGGGGACCCGGACTCCTGGGTCTGAGGGAGGAGGGGGCTGGGGGCCCGGACTCCTGGGTCTGAGGGAGGAGGGGGCTGGGGGCCCGGACTCCTGGGTCCGAGGGAGGGGGGGGCTGGGGGCCCGGACTCCTGGGTCTGAGGGAGGAGGGGGCTGGGGGCCCGGACTCCTGGGTCTGAGGGAGGAGGGGGCTGGGGGCCCGGACTCCTGGGTCTGAGGGAGGAGGGGGCTGGGGGCCCGGACTCCTGGGTCTGAGGGAGGAGGGGGCTGGGGGCCCGGACTCCTGGGTCTGAGGGAGGAGGGGGCTGGGGGCCCGGACTCCTGGGTCTGAGGGAGGAGGGGGCTGGGGGCCCGGACTCCTGGGTCTGAGGGAGGAGGGGGCTGGGGGCCCGGACTCCTGGGTCCGAGGGAGGAGGGGGGCTGGGGGCCCGGCCTCCTGGGTCCGAGGGAGGAGGGGGGCTGGGGGCCCGGCCTCCTGGGTCCGAGGGAGGAGGGAGCTGGGAGTCCAGACTCCTGAGTCTGAGAGGCGAGGGCGCTGGGGGCCTGGATTCCTAGGTCGGAGGGAAGAGGGGGCCGAGGAATCGTGAGTCTGGAGGAACAGGAAGCTGGGAATCCCAGTTTCTTCTTTGAGGTAAAAGGAAGCTGTAGTCCCAGATTAAAAGTTCCTTTGTCCTCTCCTCCCCCGCAGTATGGGGGCACCCAGTACAGCCTTGTGGTGTTCAACACGGTAGACTGCGCTCCCGAGTCCTACGTACAATGCCACGCTCCCACCAGCAGCGCCTATGAGTTTGTCACCTGGCTCGATGGCATTAAGTGAGCTTTTCCCCCCACTTGGAGTGGGTTGGGGGACCCTGTGCGGACCGTGAATGGGTTTGAGCTGCAGGAACCATTTCCTCACATTGGATGGCTGAAAGGACTGTGAGGGTGATTTTGTTTTTGTCCATAAGTCGTTTCTCTAGTGGGTTCTGTGTGCTTAGCAATATTGCCTTCCATTTAACTTAATTTAATTTAATTTATTTATTTATTTTGAAAGATGAGTGGTAAGGGGATCTTAAGCCTTGATTTGGTGTTGTCAGCACTACACTCTCCCAAGTGAGCTATGGGCCTGCCCTTCCCTTCCATTTTAGAAGCAGAAAAATGTTCCCATTCAGGGAGGTTTGGTTGGGCTCCAAGAGCCATCTCGTCCTCCATATGTGATTCTCACCTTTTTTGACCCCTCATTCCCTGTCTACTCCAGTCGTCCTTTATCAGATGGATACATTGAAGCCTGAATACAGAGGGGATCAGAGGTATGCCAGGACAGATTCCTCTGTGATTTGGATCGGATTTAGATTACATTGCAGACTCTAGAGTCAAGCAGCCTGGGGTCAATCACAGCTATTCCACAACAGAACTCTCAGACCCAGAGTGCCTAATATAGTTCATCTCTGACGCACTCTCCGTTCCCTCACAGACCCCTACGTGAAGGCCTCTCTTATCAGCGAGGGGCGGCGTCTGAAGAAACGGAAAACCTCCATCAAGAAGAACACGCTGAACCCCACGTACAACGAGGCCCTCGTGTTCGACGTGGCTCCCGAGAGCGTGGAGAACGTGGGGCTGAGCATCGCGGTGGTGGACTATGATTGGTGAGGGGGGCGGCCGGGGGCCTGGGGG